TTTGCTTAAATAAAACTACATCCCAGAAGAAAAAAAAGCAAAATAAAAGTTAAAAATTTAAACAAATATTAACTGGTCAATTTTGAAATGCTCACACTGTGAGATTTTAAAGGATATTAAGACAGTCATATTGTAATGACATGTTCAATTTACAAATATGAAATTGTTTGGGGAATCAATTTGTCAAATTCCAACGTTCCTTTCCATACACACACACTTTGATGTACTACCCAAGCAGGTTCTGGGTGATCTCCCAATGAGTGAGTGAAATGCATTTTTAGTTGTATATGGGGAGAGAGGGCTTAAGCTAGGAAATGATGTCACAGATGCTAAATGCAAAGTATTCCAGGTTAGCACACAAAAAAAATTCTAGTTCCCAAGTCTGTGCTGCTTTCTCAGCAAAAAGTCAGGTACCTTAGGACTTTCCAAAACATGGCTGACTGGGTCAGACATGGAAGCCACACTTAAGGGAGAACCCTAAAACCAAGCAATTCCCATTACCCATGTCAGTCTTCTAAAAATATTAAATGTAACCTCCAGAAAGAAACATGTCATAATTGTTTCAAGTTGTGCACCACTCTGAGAAGCATGATGAGTCTGCTGCTCCCTTCTAACCTTATCCTCTGTCCATACTATATATGCAAGTATATCCATACTGTGTTATGTTGCCTACCTGATGGTACTTTATCAGCCTCAATTACCAAAGTCACTGCCAAGGTATCCGAGTTCTGTTAAGGACGTCTCATTTTAATAATGCCCCCAAATATAATAGAAGTGATGCTGATGAATCAAATATGCCAAAGAGAATCTTTAAGTGACAGGACTAATGTTCACAATAATAGAGAAAAAATGCAGAGGCTGCCAAGATCTATGAGACAGATATTTTAAGAAACTTTTTTTGTTGTTGTTACAGATAGAATCTTGCTGTGTAGCCCAGTCTGGCTTTGAACCTGCAATCCTTCTGCTTCAGCATCCTGACTGCTAGGATTAGAGCCACGGGCCATAGTAGCTGGCTCACATGACATTTTTATTCCAGTATACTGTTATAATTGTTCAAATTTATTAGTCATTAATCTCTTATTACATCCAATTCATAGATTAAGCTTTATCACAGGCTTATTTGCATAGGAAAAACGGTATCATAGAGATCCCTAACGTGGTTTCAGGCATTCACTGGGCATCTTGACTATATCCCTTGTATAAGGGGAAAATCTGTATATTCTTCCTGTTCATTGTTGTAATACCCACAAATACTTCCCACGTCACCAAACATTACCCATTACTGTATACTGTGACTGGTTCTGATGCCAAGTTCAGCAGTGTCACTTGTGTCCTATGATGTACTAAGTCACAAAACACAAATAGCTCAATGCAAGTGAAGGCTGACTATAATATACTCTTAGATAAAGCAGGTATTCCCCATAATTTCCAGCCAAAATTACCATAATTTAAACTGTCAAAAATCACTGCATATGTCACATAAGGAATTATTTTTTGTTTTGTTTTGTTTCTTTCAACAGGTTTCAGGAGCAAGGAGCAGTCAGTTTGGCAGCGACGAGCCAGACCCACGATTTCTATCACAACACTTCAGAAGAACCATGTCCACACTGTTTCTAGTTGTTGGCTGCAACATTTTTATTTTTAAAAGATAAGCTGTAGTTTTGAGAAGCTCTTTAACAAAATGAATTTTTGTACACATTTGCTGTAAATTAGTTCATCCATTTTGGAAAGCAGTTCCTTACAAAACTAAAAGTAGATCTGGGTAAGGTGGTGCACTCCTTTAATCCCAGCACTAGGGAGGCAGAAGCAAGGGAATTTTCTGATAGAGGCTAGCCTGGTATGCAGAGTGAGTTCCGGGCCAGTGGGAGTTACAGAGAGACCCTGTCTCAAAAAAATAAATAAATAAAATCAACCAACCCACCCAACCGAACAAACTAAATGTAGAATTTCCCATGGCACTAGGGAACTCAAATCAGAATAGTGCAGAGATGCCTGAGCATCCATGTCAATAAAATTCACAATGGCCAAGATAGGGAAGTCAAGAGTCCATCAACACATAAATGGATTTTTTTGGGGGGGGGTTCTCATTGAGACAGGGTCTCCCTATCCAGCTGGCCTGGAACTCACTATATAGACCAGGCTGGCCTTGAACTCACAGAGATCTCCTGCCTACCTCTGTTTACTGAGTGCTGGGATTAAAGGCGTGCACCACCATACCTGGCTACACACAGTTTACATATATAACTAGGTGTTATTCAGCTTAAAAACAAACAAACAAACAGGAAACTCATTTGCAACAGGAACATTCTGCTAACCAAAATTAAGCCAGGCACAAAGAAAAACCCTGCATGATCCCACTTGTATATGGATCCACAACAGTTCAACTAACTGAAGTAGAGTTGAAGGGCAGGGACCAGAGCGAGGGATAGATGAGAAATGTTGGTAAAAGGCAGACTACTATGTTGAGGTCCACCCACCAAGGGATCAGGGACCATTGCAGAAGGGGGTGCAGAAAGATTCTAAGAGCCAGGGAGGAGGTGCATGACCATACAGAAATAGTCCTACAGGCGCCCAAGATCCTTCTCATACAAAGCCACAGCAATGGTGTTAGTATGCACAAGACCTATGCAAACTTATGGAGACAAAAACCCAGCACAGAACTGTGGAAATGAACAGCAAGCCCCAATCTTTGTCGGAGAATTACTGACAGCTGGTTGCTGTTGGGTGAGGAACCGCGGATTTTGGAGAGACTCTAGACAGGCTGACTAAACCCCAGTGGATGAACTTGCACCAAGGGACATCTCAGGACACTAACTTTACATAATAGGCCTTAAAACAAATGACAGAATTTATGAACTCCAGTGGGGGAGCTACGGGAGGTGCCAAAGAAGGGAAAAGAGGGTCTAAAGATGATTTCATGTATGATATACCAAAAATTCAGTCAAACTTTTTTTTAAAAGGCTAGTTTCACTTATATTGAAAGAGCAAGTTCTGGTGCTCTGTTGCACAAGGTTAATAATGTATATTTCAAAGTAGTTATTAAGATTGCTAATGTTTTTACCACAACAAAATGACAGCTGAGGCCATGAGGCCTATAAAGCAAGTTAACTTTTCATGAGAGCAACAACGTATACACCCAATAAAACATCACATTACACAAAATTTATCAATTAAAAATAAACTGGGTGAGCAAGAACTTACTCTGGGTGAATCTTAAACAAAGAAAAAAAATTAAAAATGTAGCTACACAAAAACAAAATGTTTTTGATCCCAAAATGCCTCAGCACTTTCCCATATTTCCTAAAGACAAACACAGAAGCTTAAATTCCCAGGCAATTTCACAAAGATACAGATACAACTGTGAAAACTCAATTTCAAGTTTCAACAAAAAGTGTTTGATGAAATACCAGTAATTGCTAACTCTACCCCAGCAGTTATCTATACGATATTCTGGTTTGTGCCTACTTTATTTAAAACTTTGAGTTAAGTCCTAGTATCACCCACATTTCAAACATGAGAGAAACTCTTAAAGGCCTTATTACGTGAGAACTAAACACAGTGCAATACAGCAATTGAAATACTTAGTGATGTGGGAGCAGGTTTATGATACATATGTGACAATGGCCACAAATAATGAATGGGCTGGAGTGGACACACATCTGGTTCCCAGCACCCACATGGCAGCTAACAACTAAAACAATTGGTAACCAGAACATGATTTTGTAAGTGAATAATAAATGATCAACATTAGCAAACCAAATTACTTCACTACTTACATACATGCAGGCAATACACTCATACACATAAAAAATAAAGTATTTTTTTCAAAAAACAAAAACATGAACACCACCTCTTTTGAAAGGTAATTTCCTACATGTAGTTCTTACCTGTCAGTTGGTACCGGGCTAGTAACCACTGGTGTCTCTGCTGGCTTTTCTACAGGTTTCTCTTGCTGAGTAGCACTAGCAGGTGTAGGTTCAGAAGTTGCTGTCGTTGAGGCTGGAGCAGTGGATGAAGGTGTGGAAGTGGGAGTCAAAGCAGGGGCAGGGGCTGGAGCCTGAGCAACAGCTGTTGCTGTGGAGGAGCTAACTGCAGCAGTGGTGGGAGCACTTGATTGCTGGGTTGCAGCTGGCACTGGTGTCATCACTGCTTTGGGCTGAACGTGTTAAAAAGCAAAATAATGTAAACATATTATGATGGCATCTCTTGTTAAGAGTATTACAGCTACAAATCACCACTAAAACAACTGGTAACCAGAATATGATTTTTAAGTGAATAATAAATGATCAGCATTAGCAAACCAAATCACTATGTCACAGTTCCAAAGAGAATTTTACTTTATCAGTTGCAAATAGAATTACAGTAATTTCAGCCTTTGTATCAATTTTATATGAAAAAGAGCCTAAAAAGACAATATATTAAAACGTACAGAGATATATTCCCAAAAGTAACACCACATAATTTTCTACAAAAAAACTAATGAATCTTGTGTATAATGTTAACGAACGTATTGCCACTCAAAAGCATTATCAAAGTAACTTTTTGAAATTAAGCTGTAAATGAATATGTGACTGTTTATGAACATGCTAAATAATCTGTTGCATTTTAAAAGGAGAAAAGCCCCAATGCTGACTATAAACCAACAGGTGCAAGCATAAAAAAGTATTATTTTCATACACACGCACACACACACACACACACACACAGAGAGCAAATAAATTTATGATCATTAGCACATAGTATTATTTTCATACACACGCACACGCACACGCACACGCACACACACACACACACACAGAGAGCAAATAAATTTATGATCATTAGCACATTTGAACAGCAGAGCTATAAAGCCTTCCACAAAGCAAAAGGCAATCACAGATGTATAAGTCATACTGAGTTTTATTCTTCTCAATATTCACCATCTATTCAGTTCATAACTTACCTGTATATGTAAGTTAACTATGGGATTAAAATTGAACATAATTTCCTATAAGTGCAAGTCAATAGGCTATAAAAGCATGAAGCTAACCTGTCTTGTTTGACTTAACAGAAAGTGTACTGGGAAACAGTAGTGTTAGCTTAGAGAAGACTTAAAAAATATATATATATTTTTTCAGTCTTTTTGAAACAGGGTCTCCCTGTAGCCCCAGCTGGCCTGGAATTCACTATGCAGACCAGGCTGGCCTGAACTCATAGAAATCCACCTGCCTCTGCCTCCTGAAAGCTGGGATTAAAGGCATGCACCACCACCCCGGTCTGGTTTTTTTTTTTTTGTACTTGGATACAGGGTCTCAATACTATTTAGCCTGCTGACTGGTTTCCTGAGTGCTGGAGTTACAAGAATGCACTAACAAACCTAGCTCCCACTCAAGATTATTCATGTTCTAAAGATGCAATGAGCTAAAACCCTTAACAATGAATTATCTGGGATAAAGGAGAGCTTCATAAAAGTGAAGACTGTGATTTTTAAGCACAAAAATTTTATAGTAATCAATCTGGAATAAATGCATTTAAATGCATTATACTCATTTAGTATTTTCCTCTATTACGAGTGTGGGTTTCTGCAAAGAGCTATTTAAGCCTATTTCTAAATAGTACCACAACCTCTGTTTTTGAATGTTTTTTTTGTTTCCTTTTGCTCTTTTAATATAGCAGACTTGAAATATCTATTCATTAAAACTATATACCCATTCTAAAATGTTTTCTATTTAACTCTTCCCATCAACTAGAATACCAAAGGAAATACATTTCCTAATGTGTGTGGTCTGTCACACTTTCTCTTACATACCATGAAAAAAAAAGGAATTGAAAAAGGGAGGAAATTATGGTATAGTCTATATATAAATATGGATGAACCTTGAAGACACTGTGCTCAGTAAAATAAGTCACAAAACAAATACTGCAAGATTCCATTTCCTGAGGAGTTAGGGTTTTCTAAGTGCGGCTTCAGTTTAGGGAAATCAAAAATTTAGAGATGGACAGCAGTTAAAGTTTATAAAAAAGAATGTGCTTGCTAGCTATATGTTGTTATTAAGCTACATACTTAAAACTGGTTTTGTTGGTAAATTTCATGTTACACAAATTTCACAATGCAGGAAAAAAAGTCAAAACCAGATGACAGTTTCCTCATCTGATTGTGCTTCTCAACAAAGCTTAACATTTTGAATAATTATAAATACTGCAAGATCATTATGATCTTCATTGGATTAAAAACTTTACCAGCCAGGCTTGGTGGCACACACCTTTAGATAATTCCAGCACGTGGGAGACAGAGGCAGGAGGATCTCTATGAGATGGAGGCCAGCCTGGTCTACGTAGCTATAGCAAGTTCTAGGCCAGCTGGGGCTACAGAGAAATGCTATCTAAAAAAAAGTCAAATAAAAAATAATAGCAAAAAGATTAAGTCCAACATATGGTAATCTGTTTTAGATGTCTTTGTTTTCTAGTACAAAAATATACATCAGCTAATTTATTTCACCTATTTTCTACTGCTATCATTATTTTGTGACTTTGGAAAATTTATTCCACTATTGATTTTTGAGGAACCAACTTCAATTATCCACTTAAACTTATCCTCAGTATTGTAAGAAGAGTGCCTGTTGTTCCCTTCAACTGAAGCAATTTGATCCCCAAGTCTTGTGGTAAACCAGTATTAAGAGGGTAGAAATTAATCTGACTGTGGTTCTTAGAGGTAGGGCCTTAGATTAGTTCATTCTATAGAGCAGGGCCTCCACAAGTAATTTTGGTGACCTTCAAAGGACAGAAGACAATGGACATGTATTCACACCATGATGTTATACAGCTAAGAGGCCTTCTCCAGGTCTTTACCATGCTGTTTTGACTTCTATCCCCCAAAATTCTGAGCCAATAATTAACTTTTGTGTGTTCTATTTTACAGAAGTTTCTCAGATACTTTATTACAGCAATGAAAAGCTGACCATCGATATTGTTCTTTCCTAGATTATGTATCTTTAAATAAATAAGAATATAAAGTAGTTTCTTTTTTTTAAAAAAAAAAAATCTACATTATAGGTGTTTTTTGTGAGTACACATGTATACATGCATGTAGAGGTCAGAAGACAACCTCAAGCACCATCCAGCTGTTCTGCTCTATTCTTTCTTTTTAGGCCTGGAGTTCACCCAAGTAATCTAGGCCAACTGGCCAATGAGCCCCAGGGATCTGCTTGCCTCTGCCTCCCCAGGCCTGGAATTGTTAAATGTGTACTATAATGCCTGTTTGTATATGAGTTCTTGGGATAGAACTTACATTCTCTACTAAATGAACTACATGCCCACCTCAAACTCATCTTAAAAGAAAAATTTTCACTATCATAAATCACCCAAAGTACTTCAGCATATATAGGAATGAAGGCACACATCTTTAATCCCCAGCACACAGATAGGCAGATCTAAGTTTGGGGGCAGGCCTAGTCTACATAGCAAGCTCCAGGCCAACTTGGGGATAAAGGGGGAACTCTGTCTCAAACAACAACAACAAAGATATTACTGGGGCTGGAGAGATGGCTCAGCAGTTAAGAGCACTGGCTGTTCTTCCAGTAGACTCAGGTTCGATTCCCAGCCCCACGTAGTAGCTAACAACTGTTAACTTTAAATCCAGGGGATTCTGACATCCTCTTCTGACCTCCATAGGCACGGCACAACACTAGTGTACTTACATACATACAGGCAATATACTCATACACATAAAAAAAAAATTACTTAAATAAAAATTCCTCACAAAAATAACTCCATCATTTTTTTTTAGTTGTCTTCTCCTGTTCTTTTTTACTTTCTAAAACTCTTTTATCTCTTTACTAAAACAATGAACCTACACGCCATGCTTTTTCTGCCCTGATCAGTTTCTCAGGTTTAATCTTTAACAGATCTAGCACCTTAGAGGCACCAATATTAGAGTTACAGAATAAAAGACATTAATTTGATTGCTAAGTACATTTTTAAAAATAATCACACAGTGATTTAACTACTCCAGAATAGCAACTTATTTTTTTGGAGGATAGTGAACAGATTTGTTAAGAGTGAAAAAAGACAAGAGTGAATGGTAAATGTGCTTACATCCTGAAAAGCAGTTAGGTACACCACACCATGCTATGGATATGTACAAACTGTACCCACTGTGGACTTGGCATCATTGTTTCTGCAAAGATTCCTATGCATAAAGATACAGAGTGAGGATCAGACTTACTTTTGTCACCATAACCACCACAAAGTTTTTCTCATCAATTTTGTATTCTTTGAGAGCAGTATCATCATTGAGGATTTTACCTAATAATTCAAGGGAAAAAATGTCATCTAAAGGCACATTAAGCTTTGTCTTAGAACTATTAATTTATAACCAACATTAACTCTGTAAATTAAAATCTTTGAGAAAACCTTTAGCTATTTGGCCAATATAAATATAAGTGGATACATATTAGTTTAAAAGGCATAAACATCTAGTAAGATGTCAAACATAGCTGTGTATGAAACATCAACTGATTGTACCTGAGACTTACTAGGCAACAAGTCCTGAAAAGAAGGGCTGTTTTGAAGAAAAAGAAAATTCAGCAGGGCAACTGCCTGGGTGTCCTTAAGAAAAAAATTTTTTTTTTTTTCCTGATGGGAAGAAAGGAAAGAGGAACTTCCTATTCCTAAATACCAGATAGTTGATCAATCAGAAAAGTCCCGATATCCCAATGTTATGAGAGCAAAAAACTTAAAACAAGAAAGCAGGCAAACCTTTAGAGAACGTGAAGATTTACAAAAAAGGGGAAGACGTTGTAGAACTCAGCAGTGGGCAGAGCACAGAAAACTGAAAACTGGCTATGCTGAAAGTCAGGTGCTCAGGCCAGGGATCCTGGAGGTTTCCTTCTCCTTTCATTTAGTTTTCCATTCTAAAAAAAGCTCCTGGCACTGCACAACACGGGTGCACTCACACACATGCAGTCAGTACACTCACACACATAAAATAAAAATAACAAATAAAATAAAAATTTAAAAAAGCAATAGGCATTAAACAAAAAACAAAAGAAAAAAAAATAAAGAAAAAAAGAAAAAAGGAAATGTGCCAGTAGGCCATGTAGTAAACACTGCTACCTTATCCTTGTCCTAGGCCTCCGAACTCTGGCCTATGGAAACAGTGCAGCTGGGTCAATGAGCCAGCTGTTCTCTCAACTGTCCCAGAAAAGGAATTTCTACAAAACCTCCAGGAAAAGAAATCTGCAAAAAACCAAATACCCACTTTTCACTGACAATCAGTGTTTACTACTTCCTTCAAGGAAGAAATAAGAGTGCCTTCTCTATTCATTATGGGTATTAAGTCTATATTTTTAACAAATGTTTTCCTGGTTACCAGTAAAGTTAATTAAATTTGCAATTTCCTGGTCACATCTTTAAATGTTTTTTAATTGGGGTGCCTTTTCCTTTAATTTTTTTGCCTAACACTGTCATTTAAAATCTTTTGCTATATGAAGTTTTCTGTATTTTTCAATTTTGGTAGTTTAGAAAGACACAGAAATTAATTTTACAGAAATGATTTCAAGCACATTAATAAACAATTGGCATTCAGGTTTCTAAATTCAATAGATTTTTAAAAAACAAGATGCTCAATTTGATAAGTAATGCAAGTCAGGTACATGATGCTTACAAAAGATAAAACTAAGTAATGGGCTGGAGAGATGGCTAAGCAGTTAAGAGCACTGGCTGCTCTTACAGAGGACCCAGGTGTGATTCCCAGCACCCAATGGCAGCTAACAATCATCCATAACTTCAGTTTCAAGGGATCCGACACCCTCTTCTGACATCTGCAGGCACTGCACGACATGGGTGTGCACTTACATACATGTAGGCAACACACTCATACACATAAAATAAAAATAGTAAGTAAATAAAATATTTTTTTAAAAACCTAAGTAATATCACCCAATGGACAAATACAAGACAAACAGGCAAAGAGAACACTGGATATTAATACTGTATTTAAATAATTGCTTTCAATACTTTTTATCTATACAGAGTCAATTTGAAAATACTGTCATTTTCAAGATAACACTTCTAAAATTAAAGATGTCACTACAGGTAAAACATAGCATATTAATTTCAGAATTTAACTCATACCTGCATAAATTAATTTTTGACCTGCTACTGGAAAGGCATCTTTCCCCTTTTCAGATTCAATCTTCTCTTTCAATGCTTTCACCTATAGGGAAAAAAAACAGCAATAAAAAGTAAGCCTAAATTAAAAAAATGACAATATAGACAGTAAGAAAAATGATACCAGATGAAAATTTCAATGCAGGCAAATTAATGCACTAAAAACTTCAAAAGACATGTCTTTCCAACATTTTACTGAAGACTCAGTATTAACCTGTATTACTAAGTACATCAGCCATGAACTTTATTCAGTATCATATCTGTTGTACATACATTGAGAAAAAGCATGCAGGAGGCCTGGATTTGATCCCAAGCACCACAAACAACAAAATTCTATTATTTGATCAATTTAAAATAAAGATTTCAAAATAAGTTTTCTTTCACAAAATTAATGAGCTTATTATTCAAATTTTTAAGAAAAGTCTTCTGTGGCTACTGATAGCTCAGAGGGTGAAGGCACTTGCCCCCAAGCCTGAGAACCTGAGTTCAATCTCCAGGACCTACAGGATGGAAGGAGAAAACCAATTCCCAAAAGTCTGCCCTCCACATAGGGACACACACGCACATAATTTACAAAAAATAGTCTTCTGGAGTTATGGACAGTTGTTAGCTGCCATGTGGGTACTGGGATTTGCACCCGGGTCTTTTCCAACCAGTGTTCTTAACCACTGGGCCATCCAAGGCCTCTTCTGTCCTCTGCAGGCATTGCAAAACACTGGTGTACTTACCTACATACAGACAATACACTCATACACATAAAATAAAAATAATAAATATAAATAAATAAATAATAGCCTTGTAACCCAGGAGTTATAAGACATAAAATGCCTTTACTTAAAATAAAAACACATCAATGTTAAAGACAAATGTAAATGTTAAAAAGCAACATTTTAGGGGCTGGAGAGATGGCTCAGTGGTTAAGAACACTAGCTGCTTTTACAGAGGAGCAGAGTTCGATTCCCAGCACCCACATGGCGGCTGGCTAACAACCGTCCATAACTCCAGTTCCAGGGGAATACAAGGCCCTCTTCTGACTCCTTGGGCATTGCACAGCACAGGTGCACCCACAGAGGCAATACACTCATATACATGAAAAAAAAAAAAAAAAAGCAACATTTTAAGAATATTATGTTTTGTTACAACCAAGGAGGGTTTTTAAAAATATCTTATTTTTATTTTATGTATATGAGTGTATTGCCTGCCATGTATGTGGTGAGTGCACCTGTGTTGTGCAGTGCTGCAGAGGTCAGAAAAGGGCTTCAAGATCCTTATAAAGGATCTTGAAAATAAGTCTGATCAACTTCTTGACCTGACCAGAAAGCAGTGTCATAGGAGTTTAAAAGGCAACAAGATGGCTCTCCCATGTGTCTTAATGAAACTACATTACCTTAAAGGCAAAAAAAATTAAGGTGACAAGATGAACAGGAAGATTCCATTCTCTTCAATTTTTTAGAATATTTCTGAAAATTGTCTAAGTTAGCTGTTCTGAGCTTTGTGTGAAAAACAGTCAAACAGAAAGGGACACAGAGCTAGTTTTTTAATGCAATTAAAAGTGATGATATGGAGTCAGGCATGGTAGTACATACCTATAATCAACACTCAGGAGATCAGGAGGCTGAGGTACAAAGATCCCATGTTTGAGGCTAGTCTGGGCTACATAGCAAAATTTCCAAAACAAGCAATAAAGAAACAAAGTGAAATTTCCAAAGTAAAGATAGGACTGTTTATTTTTCAACTATATTTTTTTAAAGATTTATTCATTTTTTGTACATGACTATTTGCTTGTATACATGTATATCATGTGCATGCCTAATGTACAAGGAGACCAGAAGAGGGAATTGGACCTCCTGCAACTAGTTATGGATGGTGATAAGCCACCATGTGGGTGCTGGAAACTGAACCTAGGTCCTTTGCAAAGAGCAAGTTCTTAGCCATCTCTCCGGCCCCAACTTCACCTGCCAAGTCACACTGCTACTTAGTGTTAGCTGGAACCCAAATTGTTCTCTACGACTTCCAAGCTTTAGAGCATTTTGTAAATAGTCAGCTGTGCCATATTTTTCTAAAACTTTTTTTTTTTTTTTTTTACTGAGACAGGGTCTCCTTGTAGCCCCAGCTATCTGAGACTCACTATGTAGACCAGGCTGGCTTTGAACTCACAAAGATCTGCCTGCCTCTGCCTCCCAAGTGCTGGGATTAAAGGCATGTGCCACCACGCCCGGCCCTTCTAAAACTTTTTGATGTAACTCAACACCATAAAAAAAAATCTCAGCATACTCTTTTCCACTGTTCCAAAATTCAAAGATAAAACATGAAGTCTTTAAAAAACTCAGATCACCTCAGCATCAACTCAGAACATGAATTACCCTCCATTATCTAATAGTGTATTAATTTAAAAAAAAAGTTATGTACATACACCATATTTTCTTTACCCATTCCTGTTGACAGGCACCTAAGGGTTGGCTCAATAACTTTGCTATTGTGAATAGTGCTGCAACAAACACTGACATTCAATTATGTGTGTGAGAACCCTTAAATACCCAGTAATAGTAGAGCTGGGTTATCTTTAGCTTTTTTTTGGTCTTTTTTTGAGACAGGGTCTTCCTGTAGCGCCAGCTGACCTGGAACTCACTATGTAAACCAGGATGGCCTTGAACTCAGAGATCCAATCCACCTGCCTCTGCCTCTCAAGTGCCGGGATTAAAGGCGTGCACCACCATGCCCAGCCCCTCTTTGTTTTTTTGAGGAATCTCCATGGCGATTTCTTCAGTAACTTACTACTTTCCATCCCCACCAACAATGTTCGGACTTCCCTACTGCACCATTACTTGCCAGCATTTATTATTTATTTTCTTAATGACTGTCATTCTGAATGAAGTAAGAGAATTTCAATGGAGTTTCAATGTGCATTTCTTTGATGGCTTAGTGAGGTCCAAAATTTGTTCATATTTACTGGCCATCTGTACTTCATCTTTTTAGTAAATTGTCACTACCCATTTATTGAGTTGTTTGATTATCTGTTACTGAATTCTTAATCTTCTGTGTCAGATACGTTATTAGCAAAGATCAAGGATTTTCTCCCTGTACAAGCAGGCCTCTTCCCCGGATTGTGCCCTTTGCTGTACAGCTTTTATATTTCATTAAATCCCATTTGCCTCATTTCCTTTTTAGAAAGTCCTTGCCTATGGCCCATGTCTTTAAATCTTTGCCTATTTTTCCCTCTCACAGCTTCCAAGACTCAGGTCTTTGATCCATTTGGAGTTGAAATCTGTGCTCAGTGAGAGATGAGGATCGTCTCAATCTTCTACTTGTAGTTATCCAATTTTCCCAGCATCATTTTTTTCCTCTGATGTGTATTTTTGGCATTTCTGTCAATCATGAGGTGGCAATAGTTGTATGGGATTAAATCTACATCTCTAACTTATGCCAGTTTTCTTTTTTAAAGTAAGCTTATTATTGTGTTTATGTGTATGTTTTGAGTACAGGCATATGTGTGCACAGTGTAGCTGTGGAGGTTGAGGACAACTTTCAAGAGTTAGTTCTCTCCTTCCACCATGGGATCCTGGGATCAATCTCAGGTCATCAGGGTTACATGGCAAGTGCTTTTTACCTGATGAGCCATCTTGCCTGCCTTGTGTATGGTTTGGTACCAGCACCATACTGTTTTTGTTATGAGTATGTAGTACACCCTGAAATCAGGAATGATCATACATACAGCATTTGGTTTAGTTACCTGAAGGCTTTTGTGCTTCACATGAATTAAGATTGGTTTTTCTATTTCTGTGAATAACATTAGAATTTTGACTAGAATTCCACTGCTTCTGGTAGCATAGTTTCACAATATTAATTCTTCAAATCCATGAGAAATCTTTTCATCTTCTAGTATCTGCCTCGATTTCCATCTTAGCACATTACCATTTTGCATTGTAGTGATCTTTTACTTCCTTGGTTCAAGTTTTTAAAAGGCAAATAAATGTGTATAGGATTGTTTTCTTGACTTCTTTTTCAATATTTACCTTTTTAAAAATATATATTTTCAGCCGGGTGTGGTGGCACACGCCTTTAATCCCAGCACTTGGGAGGCAGA